CCCAGATGGCCATTCCGTATATGTTGATATTTACCGCGCTCGAGCGACTCGTTTGGATTTCCGACCAACTGTATGTGCTCGTTTCATTGATTGTCTTTTGACCAATTTAATTTCAGACTGTAACGCACCACACTTTATCACAATCATTGCTCACTGTTCTCGGGAATTTATCTTCTCAAAATGGACGCTTTTGATTTGTCGCCGTTTCCGATCAACATTTCAATATACGGCATCGTAACAATACGATTAAACATTCTCACAGCAGTCGAAAATTTCGAATTCCGAAATTCGGTTGTTTTTTCACTGGGAAAAAAGCACCGAAAAACATCGACCAGTTTTAGCACAAACACCATGTGCGATCGATGCCTCCTCAAACGAAATTAATCAAAAACAAAACAAATGGGATCTCTGAACAGGAACAAATTTCTCGGAAATAACGGAAGCGAACATGTGATGAGATTTTGAAAAAAAATCATTAAAATAGCAAATAGCCAGACAGCGTTTTGAATGTCGAATTCGGAACACAGTCAACGAACTCCGTCTCTTTGCTGTCAGCTTCACTTCATGCAAACTTCCTTTTCAGCTACATTTCCTGTCATGAGCACACTTTCAAGCATAAAAACAAGAAACTTTGATGCTACAAATTCCAAGATGCTACGAATTGCTCTGCTGTGTGAGCAAGAACAATACATCAGTCAAATTCACTCTTTCTCAGCAAGTTCCAAATTCATTCTGTGCCGACAAGAGTTTTTGAGCAAGAAACAATTTAACCACTATGTTTTTCGGCTTCTAGAAATTCTCCTTTTTTCGAAGAATCCACTTTTCAGTAATCCATTCAGTAAATTAAATTTGTGCATAAAACAGAAGAAACTTTCGTGCTGCACATTCCAAGAACTCACCAAATGTTGTTAATATCATATTTCTAATGAAGAGAAGTGCAATCTTCATATTTCATTAATATGTGTAGTATTAATGAGATATGAAGATCGCACATTCACATTGCATTCATCATCTGCATTCTGAAACTTATAAACAACGAGACGACGCAACGATGCACTCATGAATATTAATTTAGAGAGCAAAATTTATAATTTATTTTCATCAAATTATTGCGTGACACTTTTTCGGGGAACAACCTTCTTGACTTTCATCCGAGAGTTGCATTTGGTAAGTGCAGAGAAAAATGTAAGTTCGACAAAAAAAAAACAAATATCGCTCTCAACACAAGCAGAAAAATATAAGTTCGACTGTTGTTGACAAGTGGAGAAGACATTATATGGGAAGGTATTACTGGAGAGGAAGTTGACCAATTTCGATTCTCCCGACGGTAAGGGCGATAAAAAATGAATGTACAGATGAATAGAATGAATCCACAAGACTGCTTTGTGATGTGATCATCTCTGATCAAAACTTAAAAATATGGCATCAGCTCGAGAAGCTTCTGAGAAAGTGAGCTTCTGAGAAAAATTAATTGCAGTTATGGTGACTGGCACCAACAGCGATTATAATAGCGATGATGACAATTAAGTTAGCAACAGTATGAATAATAATGACACGACTGATTATGCTCATTCAAATAATTCCGGTA